CTCTTAGGATTCCGGGGGGCGGAGAGGGCCCTGGGGCGGGCGCGGGTCTGGGCCTCAGCTGGGCGGGAGGCGGCGCGACTCCGGGCGCGGGCGAGTCTGCGGAGCTCACGCCGCGCTTGCCCTTAGCCGCCTAGGTTTACTTAACACGCGCGATCTAGAATTGATACGCTCTCTAAAGCCCTTGGCGAAGGCTTTTGGTGAGGGTCTGGATGGCCTGTACTAAAAACCCTTGGGAGGATATTAGGGAGGTGGGAAAAGTCTTCTTAAAATGCTTTCTCTCGCGGCAGAAAAGCTTTGACACTAGATCCGTTAGTTTGGTGTCTGCCTTTGCGCTGTGAGGCAGTTACGTTGAAGCTGTGGGCGGTTTGGAGTTCACACTTGATTCTCTGTCCTTATGAGGAAACGGCACTGGCTAGGGTGACTTTAAAGAAAAAAATAGTAGAAGCATTAACTGAAATCCAAAAGTGTTTTTTTTAAGCCTGCAGAGTTGACACAATACAGAAGGTATTTTTGCTGCTGCTCCTGAAGCTCTGACATCACCCAGTGAAAGAGGAAACATTTCAGGGATGGGACAGCTTGTATTTGTCCCCTTCCCTCTACCTTCCATTTACTTCAACCAGCAAACCACTTTTAAAAGGATGAATGGGACAGGATGAGTTAGAATCCATAGGTGCATAATATACTGATACTTAAAATGTGGCAAATCTGATTGGACTGCTTGCGTGGGAAGATGCAATTTTTGATGTCCAGACTAAAGTGAATCCTCTCTAGGCAAACAGCAATTTTGGTTAAAACCAAAATACTTGTTCTGAATTACTGTTCTTTTTTTTATTATTATTTTTAGGCTTCTGGAGTTACAGTGAATGATGAAGTCATCAAAGTTTTTAATGATATGAAAGTAAGGAAATCTTCTACACAAGAAGAGATCAAAAAAAGAAAGAAAGCTGTTCTCTTCTGTTTAAGCGATGACAAAAGACAAATAATTGTAGAGGAAGCAAAGCAGATCTTGGTGGGTGACATTGGTGATACTGTAGAGGACCCCTACACATCTTTTGTGAAGTTGCTACCTCTGAATGATTGCCGATATGCTTTGTACGATGCCACATACGAAACAAAAGAGTCTAAGAAAGAAGACCTAGTATTTATATTCTGGTGTGTAACAACAAAAGAAAAAAGTACTTTTAAAATGCAAGGATTGTTATTAACATAGTCAGTTTTGCCTTTGTTTTTCTTTTAAGTGGGATTCAACAATTGTGGTGTGTTTTTTTCTCCTTCTGTAGGGCTCCTGAAAGTGCACCTTTAAAAAGCAAGATGATTTATGCTAGCTCTAAAGATGCCATTAAAAAGAAATTTACAGGTACAAACATTGAATATTTTGTGCAGAGGAATTACTCTTTCTTAATTATAAGGTAATGGGTTCATGTCTTTTTCTTTTTAGGTATTAAACATGAGTGGCAAGTAAATGGCTTGGATGACATAAAGGACCGTTCAACACTTGGAGAGAAATTGGGAGGCAACGTAGTAGTTTCACTTGAAGGAAAACCCTTATAAAATGACAGTCAAGTGCCATCTGGATCTTAAGGAGCTTCCATTTCTCCAGCTGTCAATGGAATAGTATTAGGTTTTTGTTTTTGTTTTTCCTCTTCCCACTGGGTCCTTCCAACAAAAAGAATGAAGGAAATATCATTCATGTAAGCAGCTTATCAGTGATTGCCATTAGACTGTTTAATACTGTTACTTTGATGTAGAACCCAAGGAATGCCTTCCCATGATATTTTAGCCAAAACAACTGGTTATATGCCTCCCTTGCAGCAAACACTACACTGAATGTGATTGTCAATGTGAATAGCTTAGAATACTGCAAAGGGTAAGCTAATTGAATGCCTCGAAAGTATTATCCACTGGTCAGATGGTAAACTTTATTCAGTATTATTTATAGTTGCATTTGATTGCAGTTCTGTGAGGCTCCAGCATTCATACACCTCACCTGCCTTGGCAAGCCTATTTTTGTGACATGGCAGCACGGATATAACACTATGCATTGAAAGCACTTTTTTTGTATTGAGTTTAACTCCCCACCCTCAAAAGGAATGCCAATTAAGTTGTGTTAACTGTGTCATCAACTTTTCCTAGTAAGTCAGTGTTCATTCCTGTTCCCTGCATATCTTCGTAAAAGAAGTAGCTGTTATTAATGCCTTTTTATTTTCCTTTGAGTGTACACTACTGAATAAGTGTAGGTAGGAGTTTTATGTTTACCATGTAAGTCTTGCAACACTTAAGATATTTTATCAGTCATGATGGCAATTTCTGTATAAAAATGCCTTAAATGGAACGTTGTTTTTGAGATCAAACTCCCCACCCTCACAAAAATGGCCACTTTGCAATAAAAATTGTGGCATGTTATGGAACGTTGCCTTGTTTTCCTTGGACATTTTGCAAATGTTACGTGGAGCAACTTCTAAGGTAAACAGCTATTATTAATCTCTGCACTGGTCATTTAAGAATTTTTTTATACAACATTCATGCATGGTATTTTCCAGTTTGTTGGGTTTATTTGGTTTAAAAAATACACTATGCTAAAGCCAACTAATATAAAATATAGAGGGATACTTTTATAAGCATTAGTTTATTTATTTCCTTATGTGTTAATATGGAAATCAAATTATTTTTTTGCACTTTGACATAAATACTCTTCAATACCTGATTTGTTCTTTGGATAAATTAGGGTAGTTATTTTTTAATTCACGTTTACATTTCTAAGTAGTTAAGTAGCTAGCAGAAGCAGGAAGCTCTTCTTGTGTATTTGATCATAATGAAAATAATTTGTAAAATGTCCTTCACAAGTTTCATAATACTTTGCATATTAAGAAACTTTCAGCTACTATTTCTTATTTTTGCAAATTGGGGAAAAAATTGATACAACAGTTTTAAACATTAGGAGTGGGATTTGGCTATGATTCAGACTGCTCTCCTTATAGAGAATTTGATCTGCTCAGTGTGAGCAGTTTGCTGTTAGCCAGAGCTATTTATGGCAAACACATGCTTTTGTATCTTGTCATAGTTATCCACAAATGGCAAAACTGGACTGGATTCTACTGGTATGCAAAACAGACATGCTAGTAAGCAGTCAGTCGTGGCTTAGAACTTAACCCCATAGCTCTGAAGAATGTTCTTATCTCAAAAGAGGAAATGAAAAGTCTCCCTTTTTTAATGTGTGGAAGTAATTTGAATATGTTAATTAGATATTTTTCCTCATTTTCAGAAGATTTTTTAGTTGAAAACAAATAGGAGTTAAATATCTAGGCTGCCATTTAAAATTATATGAATGGCTTGGGATCTTTTGCACTGAGCAATTTTATTTCAGGCTTCCAGCTGTCCCTGTGAATTACTCTGGACATTCTGGTGGCTTTTTGGTAAGGCCAAACTCCTAAGTAAAGCAGGAAGATACTGACATATACAAAACCGTATGTGTAACTGATACTTGTACCGTGGAATTTTCCTCCTTTTTCTAAAAAATAAGGAATTCTAAATAAGTTATGTAGTATGTTTTGTTTTTTATAGCTGATTTCTCAACTTTCTTATATGCCTTTTTAATTATATAATAATTTCAGAGATTAAATACTGCTCTTACTGTGGTACTTTGATTTGTTAGATTGACAGAACTGATTTTACTTTTAAATTCATTTTTGAAATACATCTTTGTGCATAAAGCCAAAAATAATGATAAAATTAATGGTTCACATGTTACTTGAGACTAATTTGGCATTTAAAATGATCATTTTATTTTATAATCATTTACAATGAAACAATGTTCCAGTTAGCTTTAAAAGGTATATGGTGCTAATTAGTAAAATATTGAGGACAGTATTTTACTGCTAGCTTGCAAAATTATAAGTGTTAAAAAAATAAAATATATGAAAATATATAAAGCTGTTGAGATGTGTTTACTTCAGAACATTAAAAATTTTAAAACTAATATTGCAAATCAGAGAGCCACCATTATCTTGAGTCTTTTTTAGAATTATACTTGATTATACTTTCTCACTTAGAGATAACGACGATATTCTTTGAAAACAGTGTTGTAGCAATTTTAACATTGTCAGGCAAATGGGAACAGTTGGCATTTGTTCCAAACTGGCTATCAGCTGTTGTTTTCCATCATTATGTAAAATAATGTGGCCAGCATCATGTATTTAATGTACCTTTCAGTAGATTGAAAGACAAGCCTAGTGTTTGGGGTTTCTCTAATACAGATCTTTTGTAGCACCTAATTTATGGATTCTGGCAAGTAAGCTTTAAGAGAAAATTGTTTTAAAAGTGTTTCCTTGTTAAGGAATAATCTCAGCAGTGTTAAATCATAGAGGGGTTGGGAACACCTTCCATTGCATTTGCCACTCTGAAAAAATAATGTGGTTCTGCTTTTTTATAGGTCCCGTTTTTGTTTGCAAATTTAATAATACTTTGAGATACAAAACAAATATGATGATTCATTTTTCTATGAATATGAAAGCTGCTAGAGAAGCACAGGCAGGCTCCAGTGAATGTTGCTTTTCAGACAGCATGAATTTATAGATACTGTATGTTTTGTCTCAGTAAGGAAGTCTGAGGCTTTTCTTTTGCTCTTAAGCATTTAAGTAATTGCTTTCATCCATGTAGAATTGGGAGTCATCCCTCCACTTGTTTCCTGTCATAAAGCAGTTGGGCAAATTAATCTCTCTGAGCCTCAGTTTCTTCATAACATGAGAATGAGAATACCTGTCTACCATACCTGGTTGCTGAGGATCAAATATGGAAATGCTTTTTGCAAAACAGGACAATGCTATGTAAATGTAGTAATTTGTCTATTCATTCTAAGTGAGTACAGTTAAGTAGTTTTAAAAAATGTTAAAAATAAGTATTATAAGTGTTTTGAACCTCTTTATTTTTGTAACCCGCTTAATCTCACCATCTAAAGACTAATTAGCTGAAATGTAGCATCTTTTTCAGAATGAAGAATAAAGTATAGCCTCTGAGTTGATGTTCGTGACTACTAATTTTTTTAGTGTAGTTTGCTTTTTCATATGTGATTGATCAAATACTATTTTCAGAACAATTCTGAAGTCAAAAATAAAAGAGGAAATAAAGTTAGAGAAAT